GTCTGGCTCACTAATCAGCAGCAGCCTATCTCGTTTGTTGTCTGAAGCCGGAATGACTACCGGATGCTGCGCCAGAGTATTATCCACATGGTCTTAGCCACAGAAATGACAAAGCACTTTGAGCACGTCAGCAAATTTGTCAACAGCATCAACAAGCCCTTGGCAGCATTAGAGGAAGATGGGGTAAGCGAGCTGGTTGCAAAGGGAGCCTGTGTTTGGGGCCCTCATTCCTATGTGTTGCGGGGAAGCATGGGCCTGGGATATCACGAGTGTTATCATTACCCCCATTGGGCTCACTGAATTTAATTTCCATTGGTTAAAAAGTTAAGGTACAAAAACTTGGCAGGAAAAAAAAAAAAAAAAGGATATACAAAAATAGATATGAAAACTCTGAAGGGAGGGTCAGGTTTTAGATAAACTACCTTTAGATGGGTGGGCCATTCCTGCACCCTTTCTCAACAATTGCCCCCTTCCCCTCTTCTTGCGCATTCTGGGGTCAGTGGGAGCCCATGAGGTCTCTCACCAGCCACACCCTGCCGTGCATATTCTGTGGTAGCAGCAGCTGTCCTCTGTTGGTCTGTGTCAGAGGAGGGTGGGGTTGGGAAGGATTCTGTATTTGGACCACAAGGGTGACATTACCGTAGCTCCTCATTTTTGGATTTGAGGCATGGAGCCCAGAACAACTTCCTGGCAAGGAGAACATTAACCCTTTCCCCAGGCAGGAGACCACGGCTGAAGAAGGAGACCAGTCTGAGTTCTCATCCTAGGTCTCCTTCACCACTTCCTTGTCTGTAGAATGGGCATAGGACTGATGGGCATGGCACAAGGCAGGCACTGAATAGATGGTATCTGTTATACTAGATTCATGGTGAGAGCAGCACCTAGAGAACATGCTCTTCTCATGAACCCTCTTCCTTTGAGGCCCACGTGCCTGCCCTACCACCCCATGTGCACTGAACATCTCGGCATCAGCTCACAGCCTCTTCCACATTCCTCCTCCCCAGCGCCTGTCACCACGCACAGGGATGACTTATCCTCAGGCTAGGATGACAGCTCCTTGTATTCTAACTCTACTTCTGCAACTCACGTGTTAGGCCATGACTTTTGACTGTCCCTGGCTTTCTAGCTTATTACCCTTCACCCTTGTTCCTGTTTCACCTGATTTGAAACCTGTTGAGAACTCTGCTCCCTTCACCCTTCCCTGTTCTCCAGTTTGTCAGTCTGCCTTTGACTTCACTCTCTTTCCAAGGACTTGCAGAGCAGAGGCACCCACACCAGCCTCTTATTGACTCATGCCCTGCCATCCTGGAGAGGGCTGGTTATTGCCTAGGCTACTGCTCCTGGCTGACCCCATTCCCGCAGAAAGAAACCACATACCTTGTAGACTTGGGTTTCCTCCATCTATTCTGGGAAGTTCCTGGACTTAGCTGAGTCTTCCATTCCACTTGACAGTTAACGTTTCTCATCTCTGTTGTCAGTACTTGGAGTTACTTCTGAGAGACTGGAAATCAGTAATCCAGTGGGTCAGAGCAGGGACAAAGTATCATGAAAGAAAATAGTTTCCAGCTGGCAGTACTGGAGTCACTCTAGTCACACACCTGAAGAGAGAAGGGTCAGCACAAACCTGGTTGGCAGTGGGAAACAAGGAGAACTACTGAGGACACACCCACTGTCCACTCTGGCACTCTCCAGGAGACTAGGCAGCCTAGGCTTGGGATACCTCCTACCCATCTTGATGGTAGATCTGTCCCCACTGAGATAGGATCATCAGGCCTTCTTAGACTACTGTGACTACTCACAGAAATCACATGACTGACTCCTTTGGAAAGTTGCCTGATGGGCACAGAATCAGAATGAGGAGATGCTTGCTCGTGCCTTTCACCATGTTCCTTGTCCCAGTACTCCCTCTTCCAATCTGAATTTGCTTCAGGGGGCCAATAAGCAGAGAGTCCCTCACACCGTGGATTGAGATTCCATATCCACAGGGGCTCCTTGTGAATCAGACAGCATGTGGTACTGTGAATAGACAGAATCCAGGACTAAAGGTAGAACTTAGGTTCTTATCCTGGCTCAGCTGGGTAGCTTTGGATAAGTTTCTTCACCTCTCAGAGTCCCAGGGTTCTCATCTGTAAAATGTAATAGTAAATAATACTGATTTTCATGCCTACCACAGGACCTTTTTGTGAGTGCAGACCAAAAGAGAATGACTAAGTCCTCTGTACACCATAAAATGTTAGGGCAGTGTTCAGGACGTATCACTATATCTGACACAGCCTTGGTACACGGACAGCTAGTTCCCAAGATCATACCTCTCACAGAGCTAGGTGATTGGAGATTGGCATGTGAGAAGCAGAGCCCCTGGTGGACTATAAGATGCTTTGTTATGAGGGCAGAGAAATCTTTTATTTTTCAGTTCACTCTGTTTTTTTTAGTGAATATAGTAAAAGATAAAGCCAGTCTTTTGAGTGCTTAACCAAGGGAGCATGATAGACATAATAGAACAGAAAGAAAAGGTAACTGTGAGAAATAGAGGAAGAGGAAGAGCCAAAAAGAAGAGGAAAGGCAGACATGCCAACCTCCAGCGCTACCCTCTACTTCTGGGTCCTGCTGGAATCTCACTAGGCCTTGGTTTTCCCGTTTACGTAGAGTAAGGGGCCAAGCTCAATCCGCAGAGTATCCTCAGCACTGTTTTGTGAGATCCTAAATTGTGGTTACAGTGGGACCGCAGGAGTAAAACAGCTTGGTACCTGGGGACCCATTTTGATTGCTTTGAATTCCACTCATGTTTTAGGAAACTGATAAAAATCAAGAAGCCATAATGACTATGCTCAGAACTCCAGACAACCGCAGTTTGATCAAACGAATGCTGATTAAGTGTGCTGATGTGTCCAATCCCTGCCGACCCCTGGAGCAGTGCATTGAGTGGGCCGCACGTATCTCAGAAGAATATTTTTCTCAGGTAAGATGCAGCTTCTTAATTCCTTAAGTAAAAGAGAGAGAAACACCATAAGGACCGTAAGAAGTAATGGACTTAAAACTAGGAAGTGGAGTTCTCAATGCAATTCTGTCCTTGAAGAACATTTGCCTGTATTACAGGCTTACTGGTTATAATTCTATTAGTTTTCCCTTGTCTGAAAATGTATTTTATTTTGCCTTCATTCTTGCCAGATATTTTCACTGGATATTTGACATTTTCTCCTAATAGTACTTTAAAGATGTTAATTACACTGTTGTCTGCCCTTCATAGTCTCTCTGGGTAGGAAAAATTTCTTGTGAGGCAGAAAAAAATTAGAAAAATTTTCCAAATTTAGTGAAAGATACATACATACAGATTTAAGAAACCCAACAAATCCTAACAAATCCTAACCCATGCCCAGGCACGTCATAGTCAAGCAGCTACAAGCCAAAGATAGAGAAAAAAATTCAAAAAAATTTTGAAACCACCCAGAGAAAAATGATAGATTACTTATAAAGAGACCAGTGATTCTCATCTTTTATAAAGTCATGTCAGAAACTATGAAGGCCAGAAGACACTGTGGAACAACATCTTTAAAATGCTGTTAGGAGAAAACTGTCACCCTGGAATTCTGTATCCAATGAAAATATCCTTCAAGAATGAAGGCAGGCTTCCCTGATGGTGCAGTGGTTGGGAGTCTGCCTGCCAGTGCAGGGGACACAGGTTCGAGCCCTGGTCCGGGAGGATCCCACATGCCGCGGAGCAGCTAAGCCTGTGCGCCACAACTACTGAAGCCTGTACGCCTTAGAGCCTGTGCTCCGCAACAAGAGAAGCCACTAAATAAATTTATTAAAAAAAAAAAAAAAAGAATGAAGGCAAAAGAAACACATTGTCAGACAAGGAAAAGCTAACAGAATTCATCACCAGTAAACCTGCAATGTAAGAAATGCTAAAGGAAGTTCTTAAGGCTGAAAGAAAATGATACTAGATATAAACTTGGATCTTTAGGAAGGAATGAAAAGCACCAAAAATGGTAACTAGCAAAACCACAATGAAATATCACCTCATATCTGTCAGAATGGCTATTATCAAAAAGATAAGAAATAACAGGTGTTGTCAAGGATGTGGAAAAAAGAGAGCCCTTGTGCATTGTTGGTAGGAATGTAAATTGGTGCAGCCAGTATGGAGGATTCCTCAAAAAATTAAAAATAGAACTACCCTATAATCCAGCGATTCTACTTCTGGGTATTTATCCAAAGAAAACAAAAACACAAACCCCAAAAGCTGTACACACCCCCATGTTCATTGCAGCATTATTTACAATAGCCAAGTTGGAAACAACCTAAACATCTACTGATGGGTCAGTGGGTAAGAAGATGTGTGTGTGTGTGTGTACACACACACACACACACACACACACGCAATATTATGTAGCCGTTAAAAGAGAATGAACTCTTGCCATTTTTGACAACATGGATGGACCTTAAGGGGTTTATGCTAAGCGAAAAAGACAAATACCGTATGATCTTACTTATATGTGGAATCTTACAGAGAACAGATTGGTGGCTGCCAGATGAGTGAGTTGGGGTGCAAAATTGGTGAAGGGAGTCAAAAGGGTACAAACTCCTAGTTATAAAGTAAATAAGTCATGGGGTTTTAATGTACAACATGGCAACTGTAGTTAATACAGTACTGCATATTTGAAGGTTGCTAAGAGAGTAGATGTTAAAAGTTGTTATTACCAGAAAAAAATTCTGTAACTATATATGGTGACAGATGTTAACTAGGTTTATTATGGTGATCCTTTTGCAATATATGCAAATATTGAATCATTATGTTGTACACCTGAAACTAATATAGTGTTGTATGTCAATTATAACTAAATAAAAAGACAAAACACTTCAAAAAATGGTGAACAGCTGGGTAACTATAAAAGATTTTTTCCTCCTTTTAATTTCTCTAAATACATAGAACTATTTTAAGCACAAATTATAACATTGCATTGTAGAGGATAAAATAATTGAAATCATACAGAATATGTTCTCCAGCTGCAGTGGAATTAAATCAGAAATCAGTAACAGTAAGGTATCTAGGTAAACACCGAATATTCAGAAATTGACAACACATTCCTATGTAATCCATAGGTCAGATAATATATAGAATTAAATGTTAATAAAAGTATATTAAAATTGTGGGATACAACTAAAAGTGATTAGAAGGGACATTTATAATTAGAGAAAAAGCCCTAAAGTTAATGACTTAGATTTCTCTTTAAGAAACTAGAAAAAGAAGACAAAGTAAACCCAAAGTAAGTAAGAAAGAAATAATAAATATAAGAGCAAAAAATGAGGGAATAGAAAACAGACAGTAGAAAAAATTATAGGAGACAAGATGGTGGAGTAGAAAGGACTCGAGTGCATCTTCTCTTACGAAAACACAAAAATCACAACTTACTGCTTAACAACCATCAACAAAAAAAGACTGGAACCTACCAAAAAAGATATTCTACATCCAAAGACAAAAAGCCACAACGAGATGGTAGGAGGGGCACTTTCACAATATAATCAAATCCCATACCCACCAGGTGGGCGACCCACAAACTGGAAAATATATATCGTAGAGGCTCTCCAACAGGAGTGAGAGTTCTAAACCCCATGTCAGGCCTCCCCAGCCTGGGGGTCTGGCATCAGGAGGAGGAACCCCCAGAATATTTGACTTTGAAGGCCAGTGGGGCTTGAGTGCAGGAGCTCTACAGGACTGGGGGAAACAGACTCCACTCTCGGAGGGCACACACAAGGTTTCACATCCACTGGAACCCAGGGCAAAGCAGTGACTCCATATGAGCTTGGGCCAGACCTACCTGTGGGTCTTGGAGGGTCTCCTGAGGAGATGGGGGTCATCTATGGCCCACTGCTGGGGCAAGGACACTGGCAGCAGAGGCCCCTACGGGATATTCCTTGGTGTGAGCTCTCCTGGAGGTTGCCATTTTTGCACTGAGACCTGGCCCCACCCAACAGCCTGCAGGATCCAGTGCTGGGTTGCCTCAGGCCAAACTACCAACAGGGTGGGAACACAGCCCCAGCCATCAAGAGACAGGATGCCTGAAGTCGTCCTGAGCTCACAGCCACCTCTAGACACACCCCTTGACATGGCCCTGCCCATCAGAGGGACAAGATCCAGCTCCACCCACAAGTGGGCAGACACCAGTCCCTCCCATGAAGAAACCTGCACAAGCCCCTTGGACCAACCTCACCCACCAGGGGGTAGACACCAGAAGCAAGAAGAACTACAGTCCTGCAGCCCAAGGAACGGAGCCCACAAACCCAGAAAGTTAGACAAAATGAGATGGCAGAGAAATATGTTCCAGACAACGGAACAAGATAAAACCCTGGAAGAACAACTAAGTGAAGTGGAGATAGGCAGTCTGCCTGAAAAAGAATTCAGAAGAACAACAGTAAAGATGATCCAAGATCATGGAAAAAGAATGGAGGCACAGACTGAGAAGATACAAGAAATGTTTAACAAAGAGCTAGAAGATTTAAAGAACAAACAGAGATAAACAGTACAATAACCGAAATGAAAAATACAGTAGAAGGAATCAACAGCAGAATAAATGAAGTAGTAGAACAAATAAGGGAGCTGGAAAACAGGTTGGTGGAAATCACTGCTGCGGAACAGAAAAGAGAAGAAACAATGAAAAGAAATGAAGACAATCTCAGAGACCTCTGGGACAACATTAAATGCACCAAAATTCACATTATAGGGGTCCCAGAAGGAGAAGGGAGAGAGAAAGGGCCTGAGAAAATATTTGAAGAGATAATAACCGAAAACTTCCCTAACACTGGAAAGGAAACACTCACTCAAGTCCAGGAAGCGCAGGGAGTCCCATACAGGTTAAACCCAGGAAGGAACGCACTGAGACACATATTAATAAAATTGACAAAAATTAAAGACAGAGAAAAGCAACAAATAGCATACAAGGGAATCCCCAATTTTTCAGCAGAAATTCTGCAGGCCGGAAGAGAGGGGCAAGATATATTTAAAGTGATGAACCTACAACCAAGAGTACTCTACCCAGCAATGCTCTCATTCAGATTTGATGGAGGAATCAAAAGCTTTACAGACAAGCAAAAGCTAAGAGAATTCAGTACCACCAAACAAGCTTTACAACAAATGCTAAAGGAACTTCTCTATGTAGAAAAGAAAAAGTCACAACTACAAACAATTACAATGGGAGAGCTCACCAGTAAAGGCAAACATACAGTAAAGGTAGGGAATCATCCACACACAAATATGATATCAAAACCAGCAAAGAGGTTTTGAGGAGAGTACAAACACAGGATATTGGAAATCCATTTGAAACTAAGAGCAGCAACTTAAAACAATCTTGTATATATATAGACAGCTATATCAAGACGTCATGGTAACTGCAAACCAAAAAACTACAATAGATAAACAAAAAAGAAAAAGCAATCCAAACACAATACTAAAGATGGCCATCAAATCACAAGAGAACAAAAGCGGTACGGAAGAAAAAAGACCTAGGAAAACAAATCTAAAACAGTTAACATACATATCGATAATTACCTTAAATGTAAATGGATTAAATGCTCCAACCAGAAGACATAGACTGGCTGAATGGTTACAAAAACAAGACCCCCTATATATGCTGTCTACAAGAGACCCACTTCAGATCTAGGGACACATACAGACTGAAAGTGAGGAGATGGAAAAAGGCATTCTATGCAAATGGAAATCAAAAGAAAGCTGGAGTAGCAATACTCATATCAGACAAAATAGACTTTAAAGACTGTTATAAGAGACAAAGAAGGACACTACAAAATGATCAAGGGATCAGTCCAAGAAGAAGATATAATTCTTGTAAATATATATGCACCCAACATAGGAGTACTTCATTATATAAGGCATCATCAATGAATTCGGTAAAATTGCAGGATACAAAACTAACGCACAGAAATCTCTTGCATTCCTATACACTAACA